GGGGGGACATGGGAGGACAAGGGAGACTGAGGGGACATGGAGGGACAGGAGGGACATGGGGGAATGGGGGGACATGGAGGGGACATGGGGACAGGGAAGACTGAGGGGACATGGGGGGACATGGGGGACATGGGGGGACTGGGAATGTGGGCACTGGGGAGTCGCTCTGTGTCCCCACTCCTCCACGGCCACCTCCCAATCCCTCCCCCTTCCACGTCCCTCATGTCCCCATCCCTTTCTTCCATGTCCCTGTGTCCCCATCCCTCCATGACCACGTCCCTCATGTCCCCATCTCTCCATGACCATGTCCCTGGGTCCCCATCCCTCCATGACCACCTCCCTCATGTCCCCATCCCTCCATGACCACGTCCCTCATGTCCCCATCTCTCCATGACCATGTCCCTGGGTCCCCATCCCTCCATGGCCACGTCCCTTGTGTCCCCATCTGTCCATGGCCACGTCCCTTGTGTCCCGATCTCTCCATGACCATGTCCCTGGGTCCCCATCCCTCCATGACCACCTCCCTCATGTCCCCATCCCTCGGTGTCCCCGTCCCCGCCGCGTCCCCTCTCCAGCCACATCCAGGTGCGCGCGGGGGCGCAGAGCCTGGCCCAGCCGTCCTCCAACGACCAGTACGCGGTGGCCGTGGAGGTCGTGGTGCACCCGGGCTTCAGCGCGCAGGAGGGCACCAGCGCCTACAGCGACGACCTGATGCTGCTGCGCGTGGAGCCGCCGCTCACGCTCACGAGCTACGTGCAGCCCCTGGCGCTGCCCAGCGCCGTCGCCAGCCCCGGGACCAACTGCACCGTCATGGGCTGGGGCACCACGACCAGCCCCACGGGTGCGCGGGGGCCCCGGCGGCCGGGGACGGCGGGGGTGGACGGTTACCTTGGGTGGAGGCATCTCCATAGGGAAGGGAGTTTGGTGTCTGCAGGATAGACCTTGATGTTCACGGAGTTGGGTGGAGGCACCTCCATAGGGAAGGGAGTTTGGTGTCTGCAGGATAGACCTTGATGTTCACGGAGTTGGGTGGAGGCACCTCCATAGGGAAGGGAGTTTGGTGTCTGCAGGATAGACCTTGATGTTCACGGAGTTGGGTGGAGGCACCTCCATAGGGAAGGGAGTTTGGTGTCTGCAGGATAGACCTTGATGTTCACGGAGTTGGGTGGAGGCACCTCCATAGGGAAGGGAGTTTGGTGTCTGCAGGATAGACCTTGATGTTCACGGAGTTGGGTGGAGGCACCTCCATAGGGAAGGGAGTTTGGTGTCTGCAGGATAGACCTTGATGTTCACGGAGTTGGGTGGAGGCACCTCCATAGGGAAGGGAGTTTGGTGTCTGCAGGATAGACCTTGATGTTCACGGAGTTGGGTGGAGGCACCTCCATAGGGAAGGGAGTTTGGTGTCTGCAGGATAGACCTTGATGTTCACGGAGTTGGGTGGAGGCACCTCCATAGGGAAGGGAGTTTGGTGTCTGCAGGATAGACCTTGATGTTCACGGAGTTGGGTGGAGGCACCTCCATAGGGAAGGGAGTTTGGTGTCTGCAGGATAGACCTTGATGTTCACGGAGTTGGGTGGAGGCACCTCCATAGGGAAGGGAGTTTGGTGTCTGCAGGATAGACCTTGATGTTCACGGAGTTGGGTGGAGGCATCTCAGGGTGGAAGGGGACCAGGCTGGACACGGGTGTCCCCTCCTGCCGCCGCAGAGTCCTACCCTGACAGCCCGCAGTGCGTGAACGTCTCCGTGGTGGCCGATGACGAGTGCCAGGCCATCTACGGCGACACCGTCACCGCGGACATGCTGTGCGCCGGCGTGGCCGAGGGGGGCAAGGACTCCTGCCAGGTACCGCCTCCTTGTCCCACGGGCTTGGGGACGGAGCCACGTCCTCGTGGTCCTTCACGGCAACCCCGTGTCCCTTGGCCACGTCCCCACGGCCACGTCCCTTGGATTCCCCTTATCTCACGGGCTTTGAGATGGAGCTACGTCCCCATGGCCCATTACCATGTCCCCATGGTCCATCACTGCGTCCCCATGGCCCATCACTGTGTCCCCACGGCCCATCACTGTGTCCCCATGGTCCATCACTGTGTCCCCATGGCCCATTACCATGTCCCCGTGGTCCATCACTGCGTCCCCATGGCCCATCACATCCCCATGGCCCATCACCGTGTCCCCATGGCCCATCACCATCTCCCTATGCCCATCCCCATGTCCCCATGACCCATCACTGCATCTCCATTGCCCATCAAGTGTCCCCATGTCCCCAGAAATGTGTCCCCATAGCCCATCACCGTGTCCTTATGGTCCCCCTCAACCCCTGGCCTTCAAGACGTGGCCACATCTCCATGTCCCCACATCTCCGGGTCCCCACGACCCAGCTCTGTGTCCCCCCACCCGGCACCGTCCACGTGTCCCCATCACCGCCCCCTTTCTGCGCAGGGTGACTCGGGAGGTCCCCTCCTGTGCGACGGGGAGCTCCAGGGCATCGTCTCGTGGGGCGACCACCCCTGCGGGCAGGCGGGCCGGCCGGGCGTCTACAGCCGCGTCTACAACTACCTCGCGTGGATCCAGGAGACCATGGGGGAGGCCTGAGGCCTCCTCGCGCCCCCGCGGACCCGCCGAGGCCACCGCGGACCCATCAGGAAGCCACCGAGTCCCCTGCAGACACCCCCACCCCGCCACGGAGCAGCCAATCCTGCCCCAGATGCCACCATGGCCAGGCTGATCCCACCACGGATGGATCAACTCCACCATGGGGCAGTGGCCCCACCACCAAGATGTTGACCCTGCTGACCCACCACAGACCCACAGAACCCACCAGAGATGGTCTGATCCCACCATGGGTGGTCAGATCCAACCACAGACCCCACCATAGATGGACTGACCCCACCACGGACCTCCTCATGGATGGTCTGACCCCACCACAGATCCACAGAACCAACCAGAGGTGGTCTGATCTTACCATAGATCCCACCATGGATGGTTGGATCCCACCCTGGACCCATGGATCCCACCATAGATGGACCAGCCCCACCACAGAGCCCACCATGGAGCTCTGTGCCCACTGTAGACCCCACCATGGATGGTTGGATCCCACCATAGTCCCATAGAACCCACCATGGGTGGTGTGATCCCATCCTAGACCCCACCACAGATGGTCAGACCCTAACATTGACCCACAGACCTCACCATGGATGGAGCAACCCCACCATGGATGGCCTGACCCCACCATGGACCCATAGACCCCACCATAGATGGTCTAATCCCATCCTAGACCCCACCATGGATGGTCCGATCCCACCCTAGACTCATGGATCCCACCATAGATGGACCAACCCCACCCTAGACCCCACCATGAATGGTCAGATCCTACCATAGACCCAGAGTACCCACCATGGATAGACCAACCCCGCCACAGACCCAACCACAAAGGTCTGTCCCCACTGTAGACCCCACCATTGATGGTCTAATCCCACCTTAGACCCCACTATAGATGGTTGGAACCCACCATAGACCCATGGAACCCACCATAGATGAACCAACCCCACCATAGACCCCACTGTTGATGGTCCAATCCCACCCCAGACCCCACCAGGGATGGTGGGACCCTACCAGAGACCCCCACCATGGTCAGATCCCACCACGGACCCACAGATCTCACCATGGATGGTCTAATCCCACCCTAGACCCCACTGTAGATGGTTGGATCCCACCATAGACCCATGGAACCCACCATAGATGAACCGACCCCACCATAGACCCCACCATGGATGGACCAGCCCCACAGCGACCCCATTTATGGGATGGGAGGGACACCAAGCTGCACCCCCCCAATCCCGCTACCGTAAATCACCTACTGCCCGCACCCCGCCCCATACACAGTGCGCCCTTCCCAGCTACCGTAGTGCACCTAATAGGGGCGCAGCTCCCCCCACCTCCGCCCCACACCGCGCCCCACAGCCTCGCTACCTTATTGCACCTAATAGAAGCGCAGGTCCCTCCCCACAGCCCGTAGGTCTTACGGTAATGCACATAATAGAAGTGCATGGAGATTTTTTTTCCACACCGCCGGAATCCTCCTAATAGGAGCGCATGTAAGGGTGCTCCTATACAGCTGCCCTCCCCAACGCGTCTATCCCCCCCACTACAGCAATGCACCTAATAAAAACGCAGCCAGAAATGCAAATCCCCCCTCCCCCCAGTACCGTACTTACTGAAGTAGCCAGGCACAGTTTAAAAGAAAAAAGAAAAAAAAAAAAAAAAAGGTCTCACCCGGATTTAGGGATTTTTTGCTGCCCTCGGAAGCCATTGAGTCACCAAGGGCGTCAGCCACCCCGGTCGCATTGTGGGTTAATTAGGGCAGATAAAGAGGTTGGAGGGAAAGGGAAGGCGCAACGTGACGCGGGGGCGGAGGAGCCCAGGAGTGCGGGGAAGCTCCGAGCCGGGGCTGGGAAAAGGGCCCAGGCGTCCTGGCCCGGCGCCCACCCCCGCGGGCGCCTCCGCTCCACCCTGCGAGGTGGCAGCGGGGCCAGGCGTCCGGGCGGCCCGGCCCAGGCACAGCCAGGAGAGGCCGGGCCCTGCGGGAGGGGCCCGGACACCTGGGCCCCCCCCAGCACCGGACCCGCTTCCCACATACCAAGGTCCCGGCCTTGTCCCCCGGCCGTCAACCCCCTCCCCGCCCCTCCCTCCAGTGTCTCCCATGGGGTCCCTTCATGTCCCCATTCCCTTCTTAGGTCCATCCATCCCTCCATCCATCCCTTCATCCATCCCTTCCTCCATCTCCTATTGCCCCTCCGTCCATCTGCCACTGGCTTCTCCATCCCACCCTTCTCCCATCCCCTCCATCCATCCCTTTGTCCATCCATCCGTCCTTCCAACCCCACTGCATTCCTCTGTCCGTCCATCCCCCTTCGACCATCCATCCCACCCTTCTCCCATCCCCTCCTTCCATCCCTCCCTTCTCCCATCCCCTCCTTCCATCCCTCCCTTCTCCCATCCCTCCATCCCTCCCTGCCCCATCCATGACTCCGTCCCTCCCTCCCTTCCTTCTTCCTCCTCCTCCTCCCGCAGCCCCGGGGCGGATCAGGGCAGGGCCGGAGCCGGCCACAAAACGGGGCCGCCCCAGCGGCCGCTGCGGGACACGCACCCGGACACGATTCCCAACGATCCCACACGCTCCGGACACGATTCCCAACGATCCCACACTCTCCGGACATGCTCCCGCATAGCAGGTGGGCCCTGGCGCCCCGCGGGGTTGGATACGGGGAGGGAAGGAGGAAAGAGGGAGATGGGAAAGGGGGGAAGGAGGGAAGGAAAAGAGGGATGTGGGAAGGAGGGATGGAAAAGGACACGGAAGAGGGATGGAAGGAGAGAGGGAAGGGAAGAAAGGGAAGGAGAAATGATGGAAAGAAGGAAGGAAAGGGGGGTGAAGGAAGGATGGAAAGAAGGAAGGAAAGAGATGGAAGGAGGAGGGAAAGGGGGGAGGAAGGTGGAGGAAAGGGGACATGGATGGAGAGATGGAAAAAGGACGGGAAGGAGGGATGGATGGTTGGATAGAGGGGGAATGGCAGGATGGATCCATAAGGGATCGAGGCAAACGCGGAAAGAGGGAGAGGAGGAGGATGGGAAGAGGGATTGATGGAGGGAAATGGGGACAGGGACAATCGGGGGGCCGGAAGGTCCCCGTGACACCGCGTCCCCTCAGGGCCATGGAGCTGCTGCCCTTCGTGCTGCTCCTCCTGGTGACAGTGGGTACGTGGGGGCCCTGTCCCCAGCCTGGGTCCCCCCGGGTCCCTTCATGTCCCTCCGTGTCCCCTCCCTGTCCATGTCTTCCTTGGTGTCCCCATCTGTGTCACCAGCCATGTCCCCATCCCTGTCCCCTCCCCATCTCTGTCCCCATCTCTGTCCCCATCTCTGTCCCCATCCCTGTCCCTGTCCCCATCTCTGTCCCCATTCCTGTCCCTGTCCCTGTCCCTGGTCCGTTGGTGTCTCTGCCCCATCCCAATCCTTGTCCCTGTCCCTGTCCCTTCCCCATCCAAAGGGGGCCGGGGAAGCCACCTGGGGGTGACCTCTGTCCCCACAGTGGGTGGCCCCTGTCCCCAGGGCAGGGAGGGGACAGCGTGGGCGGCCCATGACCCTGTGGCAGGATGGGACCCCAAAGGGGATGTCCCCAATGATGGGATGCGATGGGTGGCCCGTGACCCCCCCAAAGGGCGTCCCCATGTCCCTGCGGTGGGAACGGGACACGCCGGGCGCCGCCGGGCGCCGTCCCACGTGTCCCCGTTGTCCCCAGGGCCGGGGTGGGCGCAGGACGACGGGGGCCGGATCATCGGGGGCTCCCCCTGCATCCCCTTCTCGCAGCCCTGGCAGGTCTC